GGCTAAGCCACAGTGTAGGGGCAGCTGTGGGGAAGCGGCTGCTATGGTCCTCACTCTGCCCACTAGAGCACCCATTCGCCACCTCCCATTTGATCTCTATCGACTTAACCTTTCTACATCTCGCCTATGCTTTGGAAAGAAAATCATAGGAAACGGTATAGGCAGTAGAAAATCAGGAGAAACCAGTATTTAGAAGGAATAAAAATAAAATAAAAAGTCAAGATCAGAATAATATATTTTACATTTCTCTTGTTTGGATCTATCACATATGCTACCACCATACTTCAAGAGTTATTTTAGTTTTTTAAATGTTTATTCATTTTTATTTATTTGAAAGGCAGAGCATCAGAGAGGGCAAGAGAGAGAGAGAAATCTTCTATCTACTGGTTCACTCTCCAAATGTCTCCAACAACTGGGCCTGGACCATGCCGAAACCAGGAGCCAGGAACTCCACTCAGGTCTCCCTCACAGGTGGCAGGTATTCAGGATTCGATCCACCATTTGCTGTCTCCTAGGGCATTAGCAGGAAGCTGTCCTGGAAGTGGGCAGCCAGGACTTACATCAGGTACTCCAGTATGGAACCAAAGGTGCCCCAAGCAGTGGCTTACTCGGCTGTATCACAAGATCCATTCCTTCCAAGAGTTGTTTTAAAGATCAAATGGGGGGGGGGGGGCAGTGCTGTTGTGCAGTGGGTTAAAGCCCAGCCTGCAGTGCTGGCATCCCATATGGGCAGTGGTTCATGTCCTGGCTGCTCCTCTTCTGATCCAGTTCTATGCTATGGCCTGGGAAAGCAGTAGAGGATGGCCCAAGTCCTTGGGTCTCTGCACCTGCGTGGAAGACCTGGAAGAAACTCTTGGCTCCTGGCTTTGGATCAGCTCAGCTCTGGCCACTGCGGATTTTTGGTGAGTGAACCAATGGAAGGAATGGATTCGCTCTCTCGCTGACTCTACTTCTAACTCTTACAAAAAAAAAAAAAAAAAAAAAAAAAAAAAACAAACGAGGAAGTATATAGAGAACATTTACCCCACAGCCTAGACATAATCAATGTTCAAAAGTAGTAGTTATTTTTATTTTTACTAAGAAAGGTAGTATCTACACTACATCTAGATAATTACAGGGGGCAGGTATTACGGGGTCCCAGGTGGAGCCACCATCTGTGAAGCCACCATCCCATTATGGGCACCGGTTCATTTCCAGGCTGCTCTACTTCCAATCCAGCTCCCTGTTGATGGCCTAGGAAAAGCAGCAGAATGTAGCCCAAGTGCTTGGGCCACTGCTACCAACATGGGAGACCCAGATGGAGCTCCCAGATTCCACCGGGCCCAGAACCAGCCATTGTGGCCATCTGGGGAGTAAGCCAGTAGATAGAAGATATTTCTCTCTCTCTCTCTCTCTCTCTCTCTCTCTAACTCTGACTTTCGAATAAAAAAAATTACAAGGATAAAGTACAATATAGCAGTTCTAAAACTATTCACATAAAAAATACTTAATGAGCTTTTCTTTTTAAACAAATATTAGATTTCTAATAAGATAAAGTCAAATAACTAAAGAGAAATATCAATCTAAAATAACAGGTAAATCAGTCTCTCTCCACACACACACAATAAACACTAAAGAGATACCCAACTTTGCAAGTGAAAAAATGCAAGTTAAAACAAGAGATCATGTTCACCCAGCAAACAAGCAGAAATTAAAAAGCCTATTAACAGGGCCGGTGCTGTGGTGCAGCAGGTAAAGCCACTGCCTGCAGTGCTGGCATCACATATGTGTGTCAGTTCAAGTCCTGGCTGCTACTACTTTTTATAAGTTGCTTTTTTAAGTCAAAAGGCACAGAGCTCAGGCCCGGGAGGGGGTGCCAGAGAATACTACTCACAGCCAGTTTGACCAGCACCAACTCACAGGCTGCCTCCTGCAGAACCCAGACCTTCAAAACCTGCTTACGGGTAACTGATGGCACATAAATAAATAATAAAGATACAATAAATAAAGTGCATTCAGATACATACCTGTCCTTCTTCCAACACTGATGGTTTTATTTCTGTATCTTTACACATGCTGTTATAGAAGCCATTCATGGCGCTATTTAGTTTTTGATAGTCGACTTCATGATCCAAAAAGGGACTACATCCTTTTATAATAACCCAGAAGCAATCTGGGTCTTCAACCTGCAGAATTTTTAAAAGATTATAAAATCATGCATGATTTCTTTTAAAACCAAATAAACCTCAGAACCATGTAACTTTCTAATTTAAGTGATCTATCATTTTTGACAACTACCTTTATCTTAAATGGTCATACCAAAGAGCCAAAGATAAAATTTAAAACATGTAATCAATAATATGTAATTCTCAATTATGTATTACAACTCAAAAAGCAATCAGTTCTATTTGGTCTCCTGTAGCTTAAAAATATAAATATTAAAAATATTCTTATTATTAAAATACCTATTAAAACATCCATATATATAAAAGGTTCAGAACATTTTTAGTATTCTTTTTGTGTAAGAAAAATAAGTATGAATATATATACAGCCTGCTCATATTTTTTAAATGACAGCAGATGAACCAAAACAAATACAGATTACCTCCTACAGGAGAAAAGAATGGAGTAGAAAGAATAAGGATGAAACTTAGACTGAATTCTCTGAATGGGTCTTATCTACTCTTGTTATTAGAAACCAAGATTTTTATTGTTAGGGAAAAGAATTATAAAATGGAAAATTAAATTTTTAAAAAGATTTTATTTATTTGAGAGGTAGAGTTGCAGAGAGAGGGAGAGACAGAGAAAAAGGTCTTTCATCCGCTAGTTCACTCCCCAAATGCCCACAATGGCCAGAGCTGGGCAGATCCGAGACCAGGAGCCAGGAGCTTCTTCTGGGTCTCCCATGCAGGTGCAGGGGCCCAAATACTTGGACCATCTTTTACTGCTTTTCCAGGCCATACAATAGAGCTGGATAGAAGAGGAGTAGCTAAGACATGAACTGGCGCCCATAAGGGATGCCGGCACCACAGGCAAAGGCTTAGCCTATTATTCCACAGCACCAGCCCCCCAAAATTAAGTTTGATTGACAACATCACTAAGAACTCATGATTTGGGGCAGACGCTGTGGTGCAGTGGGTTAAAGCCCTGGCCTGAAGCGCCAGCATTCCATATGGGTGCCGGTTCGAGTCCCAGCTGCTCCACTTCCGATCCAGCTCTCTGCTGTGGCCTGGGAAAGCAGTAGAAGATAGCCCAAGTCCTTGGGCCCCTGCATCCACGTGGGAGACCTGGAGGAAGCTTTTGGGTTCGGATTGGCACAGCTCCGGCCGTTGTAGCCATCTGGGGAATGAACCAGCAGATGGAAGAACACTCTTTCTGTCTTTACCTCTCTCTGTAACTCTTTCAAATAAATAAAATTAAATTTTAAAAAAGAACTCATGATTTTTTTTTTTTTTTTGGACAGGCAGAGTTAGACAGTGAGAGACAGAGAGAGAGAAAGGTCTTCCTTCTGTTGGCTCACCCCCCACATGGCCGCTACAGCCAGCATGCTGCGCCGATCTGAAGCCAGGAGCCAGGTGCTTCCTCCTGGTCTCCCATGCAGGTTTTGGGCCCAAGGACATAGGCCATCCTCCACTGCCTTCCCGGGCCACAGCAGAGAGCTAGACTGGAAGAGGAGCAACTGGGACAGAATCCAGCGCCCCAACTGGGACTAGAACCTGGGGTGCCGGCGCCACAGGCGGAGGATTAGCTAAGTGGACCACGGCGCCGGCCAGAACTCACGATTGTTCAGAGGTTTTCCCTAACTCTGTCTACTGAAAAGGTATGGAAGCAGAAACACCCAGAGATATGGAGTCTAAGTTACCAGTGGCAGGAATAGAAGAGTTCATCTTAGTAATCGTATTATTTTTCTGAATGTTTGACTATTCTCATAATAAATAACTGGAAAATGAACAGCAGTCATTCTGGCAAGGGCAAAATAGTGTATAAGTTACACACACAGCACAATTATGAACCCTGAAAAAACACAAAATAAATGAAGAGCTAGCATAAGCAACAGACACTGGAGAGCTGACCCTCGAAAGAAGGAACTTCACTGGGCACTATCCCAGAACACCTCCCAGTTGTACAGAGTGGCAACAACGCAACACAAAGTCACACTGTGGCTCGGGGAATCAGAGCTGTCGGTGCCAGTGAGGATTAGGGGGAGAAATTCTGAAATAGAGCCATAGAGGGAGCCCTGATGTCTGCACATCAACACCCCTCCCACCCTTGCCAAGTCCTGAACGGCAATGGGGGAGACAGCAAGGAGTACTGAGTACGTGAGCAGTGCAGGGCTCAGAGGAGCACGCAGTTACAGCTGCTGCCCCTAGAAACAGCACTCCGGGCATGTGGCTCCATTCAGTCCTTCGCACTCAGAGACAACCAGATTCCGGCTTCCAGCAGCACAAGGCCACAACCCTGGGATGACTGCAATTATTCATTAAAGTGCTCACTTGAGTGGTGAGCATGTGGCCTAACAGTCATGACACTCACTGAATCCCCCCGCCAGAGTGCTAAAGATTCAATATTCAGTTCCAGCTCCTGACTCCAGCTTCCTGCTAATGCAGAGCCTGGGAGGCAGCAGTGATGGCCCAACTGGGTTCCTGCTACCCATGCAGGAGACCTGGAATGGGTTCCCTACTGCCAGCTTTGGCTTCAGTCCAGTCCTGGCTATGGTAGGCGTTTGGGAAGTATATCGGTAGATAAGAGCTATTTCTCTCCCCCACCCCCTGTCACTCTTAAATAAAACTGATAAATAAATAAGCAAGCCTGCCTGCCTGCCTGCCTGCCAGAGAAAGCTCCACAATGCCAGAAGAACTGACTGTTCAGGCTATCATCTGAGGCAGGCCCCAACCTTCCGTTCTTAGAGGCTTCACTCAAAAAAGCTTACAAATCTGGAAGTGTGTCCCTGCTCAGTAGCCACTCCTATGAGGCCAGGGCCGCCATGCCAGTTTCTGCAAGAAGACAGCGTGCTAACTTCCATAACTTCCAGCTAGCACACACAGCTGGGATCACCGCATTTACCCTGAATGACCTCTTCTCACTCTTCCCTTGAGCTGTGCCAACCCCAGCCCTCCCTTTAAAACACCCAGGCACCTCCGCACCACTGGTGATGGAGCTCAGCTCTCCTCAGGAGGTACTGAATAAAATCTGTTTTCACTGCTTTAACTAGTCTCTGGCCTCCAAACAAAAAACAAACAAACAAACAACAAAAAAGCCCGGACACTCACCCCAAGGAAAGAGTGGAGCCCGCCAAGCAGAGGGCGGGAAGCAGCTCAGGGTTCAGTGCCGGAGCAGAGCCCTCCCTGCAGAACAAGAGCGTGTGCTCTCACGGCAACAGCCAAGCAGGGTGCAGGAACCGAGCCTCCCCAAGTGTGGCAGAGGCCTTTGTCTTTTACTTAAACTTGTTTCTAGCTGACACCATTGAAGTTGTGCTAGAGGCTTTCCCAAGGTCCAAAGAAGAAAGAGAAATCTGTCCTGGGAATGAAATGTGGCTGTCATCTGCTTACCTATGAAGGCTTCAACTGTAATCCCTATTGGCTTCTATGCAACCATTACAGGTTCTGCAATGATGCTAACCCTTGCCAGACAGCAGGTGACTAAATGAAAAATGGCCATTTAACAGATCTCAGGTTGATAAAACTGATTTCCAGTTTTATAAAAAATAAAATTCCATATAAATGTAGTTCTGACATTAATTCAGACAAAGTATGATACAATGCCAGTATCTTCAGTCATCTGTAAAGGGCTCATCGCCCCTTCCGCATTCCTTCTGCCCTCAGCCCACCCCCTCCCCATTTCCTCCCTTCCTTCTGACAACCAGTGCAACCTCCTCTGGTTGGGGAACCAGGTGCAACCTCCCCCAGACTCCTTGCAAAACAACTAATTAAATAGATGAGCTGCACAGGGCAGCTTTCTAATTAGATTTGAGGAAAGTTCCCAAGGCTTCCCAGAGCCCCCTAGTTCCACTTTCCACCAGCTGCAAAGTCTTCTCCCTCCCCCACAGCGACAGTGGCAAACTCCCTCCTTAACCAGATAAAACCCCAGCCCCAAGTGCACTCCAGACCAGACTTTTCTAGAACAGGATGCTTTTCCCTCTTTGCCTTAATGAAGTGGCCTGTCTCCGTTGATGTCAGTTCTCTCATCCCGGGGCGGCAGGGGGGGGGGGTACAAAAGGCCAGAACCCCAGCTACTCCAACCCTAACAATCTGTGTAGTTGCTAAATGTAAATTGGGTAAAGGTAAATGAGATACATGTGTCTACATGTAAACTTAGGTACTCTTAACACCTTACAGTCTATGAAAAACTCTGGATTTGTTGACAAATAGGTTTTCATAAGCTGTCTATAAATAAAAATAATTCAAGACTGCTCAGAAGTAACTAAGGTTGAAATTCGGGATATGCTTTTAAATTGCTATTTTCAATGTAAATCAAGAAAATCAACAGATGGAAAAAAGGTTGCCAAGTCAAAACTGTGCTTCTTAGTGAAATAATAAAGAAAGGACATGGATTGTAAGATTGGAATGGAAAAGATAAAACGGTTTAGGTAAGCTGCAAAAGGTGTGTGGAAGTCTTAAATGCTTATAAAATTTTTTGTTAGCTACAAAAGTTATCAATCTGTTTTTTTTTTTTTGATGTAAGGTTAAAATCTGATCCTCTGTAAAAGCAATGAGGTTGATGAAATACATAAGTGTTAATAGATATTTGGGAAAATAGTCTTTTTGTATCCTACTGAGATAATCTTTGTCTCATTAAGTTCTACTTGTTTAAAAACAGCTGAGTTCTAAAAGTTTCAAAGTTTTAAAAGTCTGTTTAAATATGGACTTGTTTTACATGTCAAGCATAGAAAGCTAAGACACTGTGGCAAAAAATGTTCTACATGAAGGATCTCCGTGAGGCCCCAGTGGAAAGCAGCAGCCATCAAAAGAGGATGTACTTTTCTCTAAAGGGAGGAGAGAACTTCCACTTTGCTTCTGGCCTTGTCCAAATACTGAGAGTTGTGGACTCAAAAGGCTTCCTTAACCTATGCAGCTCATGTCAAGAGCCTCGGGTGGTTACTGACGTCATAGATAAAAAAAATTAACACTCTTAAGATTTCTTTATTTGAAAGTCAGAGTTAGAGAGAGAGGTCTTCCATCTGCTGGTT